AGGATGCTGAGGGCGAGGAAGACGACGATATGGGTGTCACACCAGGTGGAGACATGGACGAGATGGACAGCGACGAGGACCTCAGCCGCGACCAGACCCCCGACGTCAGCAAGATGACGAAGCGCCAACGCGCCCTGATCAACGAAGAAGAAGACGGCGCTCTCCTAGCCCTCTCGAACGAGGCGCAGAAGAAGAAACACCTCACAGCCGAAGAGCACGCTATGCGAAGGGCAGAAATGGCAAGGCGGAGGAAGAACCTCAGCGAGAAGAGGAATGAAGAGGAGAAGGTTTGTTGAACCCAGCATCTTCTTATTTTCACAGTCACTGACCTTTCACCCCTAGCTGGACACCATCAACCGTCTACTCAAGAAACAACCCCCGAAGCGCGGCCGTAAGTCCATGATCGAGCTCAACGAAGACGGTGAGGAGATCGAACAAGAGCCTGAGCGAGCGAACCCACTCTATGTACGATACATCCAGAACGCCAAGGGGACACAACTTGCTGTGCCAGACGAGTGGCTTCAAGCCCCTGTCGGCAGTGTCTTCTCCGGGCAGACGCAGAAAGGGGCCCAGAAGCCTTTCAGTGGACGTATGGTAGAAGAAGTGGCTTAGCCTTATCATTGGATACACTCATCGATGACAAGGGGAAGGGCAAATGTACATTTAGCGGTGCATAATCACGGCGTTGATTGTCTTTTCTTATAGATCAGATATCCTATTTCTTGTTTCCATCTACTTCACCTCCAATCTCATCGCGTCATACTGAACATATACCGCTTCAGGCAACAACGCACTCTCGTAGTTGGTTCCGTTGTACGGCAGGCTGAGAATCAAACTATTCTCCCCTTTCTTCAGCATAGCCGAAGGGAAAAGGAATTTGTGCGCGAGGTTGTAGCATATGACTGCTGAGCGGACAGCGCAGGATGAGGATTGGTTGTATCTGGTATGATTGTTAGTACACTCTCATGATTAAAGACGGAAGAAAGAATGAGGAACTCACGGAATAATCCAAGGCTCAAGATCCACCCCATTCACATTAACCGTATACGGTAGATTCGAATACGGCTCACTCGCATTAAACACATCCGTATTTCCCGCCGCCGTCTTCGCACCCGCAAGCTGCACCGTGAACGTCGCCGTGGTCCTGTTCTCAAGTTCATTTGCTTTGGCATCGAACAGAATAGTCCAGTTATACGGATGATCAGGCACAGGTACCGGACGCTCGTAGTTCGCCTTCCCGCCATAGACAGCCCAGTGCACGTAGTTGAGTGCTTGAGACGCGTCGTCCGTACCGACTTTGTACGTTACGCCTTCGGGGAACTCGTCGATGAAATCGTAGGCACCCCAGTAGAGACGGTATTCTTCTGTGAGGAGGGGATGCGTGGGGGACTGGGCGTAGCCGTGGCGGTACTCGCCTGAGGATTTATCAGGGGTGCCGATGCGGAAGAGTTCTGTGCCGGCGGATTCGGGGGTCCACATCGCGCTTATGGAAGTGGCTTCTCCAGCGGAGACGAGAACGTCGTCTTGGATGTAGTCACCGAAGATACCGTCGGCGTAGATTGTGAGACGGTAGTTCCCTGCTTTTACTCGAGGAATGGTGACTTCGCCGGCGGGAGAGATGTCTTCCCAGTATTGGTATGCTTTCGTGTCGAAGACGTTGTCTTGGAAGTCGTGGCCGCTCTCTGTGAGGATGGCGATAGGGTTCTTGGCTCCGGTGGGCAGGTTGATCTTTGCGTTCAAGGTACCACGACCGGAGGTGGGGACGAGGTTTGGAACGTGCTTTGCGATGGAATCGTAGAAGTCGGCGTTCCACTCTGGACGGAGACCATACTGGTCGGCATCTTCTCTGAGCTCTTCTAGCGAGCCGCCGGAGTTGAAGTGGAAGTACTGTGGCCCAAAGGTACGGTCGAAGCCATCGGTGATGTTGGGTGTTTGATCGCCGTGGTGGTTGGAGACCATGTAGTTGTACACGATACCGTCAACGACAAGGTCGGAATGAACAGGGCCGTTGAAATAAGTCTCGACCGTGTTGTGTACGAGCCAGGCACCGTAGGTTGAGCCATTGGCGCTACCAGTACCGTCTGCGTACATACCGTGGGCCTTGTGATCGCGCCATGTGTCTTGGAAGGTGTACTTGGTGAAGTAGTCTCCTACACCAGTAACGTATGGATCTTCTTTGTTGGCTAGCCACCATGTAGCATCTTGAACAGTGACCTGTCCTTCGGTATCTGGGCGGGGTGCAGCAAACTTCTCGTTGGTAACGAAGTGCGTGAAGAGCGCGGGTTCATGGTTTGGCCTGAACAGTGTGCGAAACTCTTGCAGGTTGCGCAAAAAGGGAGTGGTCTTGTTGTTGTATACTACGCGACTGAAGGTATGCAGACCTGTTTCCCCTTCTCTCAGGAACCAGTACTGCTCTAGCCTCTGACCGGTCGGAGCGTATGTCTCGCCCATGCTGATACCCCCATACGAAGTATTAGTAGAATCCCTGCCGTTGAACAGCTGGTACTGAACATTGCTTCCGCGGCCTGGTGTCCAGAAGCCAGATGGAGTGCAGTAACAGTCGAGATAGGGACCGACTCCAGTGTTGCCATCTTCCGTCCCGAGGAGGTTCTGGCCGTCAAGAGTAAGAACATTGATATATCCCCTTGTCTTGCTCACCGACGCAACCAGACGATCGTTGGCAATAGTAAGACTCTGATTGTTCTGACTCGCGTTCAGGAAAGCCCATGCTTTCGAAGACAACAAGAGCGCCGCCGCGGTTGCTGTGGTAGAGCGCATGTTGTGAATGGAAGGCGCCAACGAGCACTACTTGCCCTCGGGAGTACTTCGCTCCCCATTCTTATACAGGTCGTATCCAGGTACACGGGAAAATTAATTGAAGCTAAGCTCGATGATCCTGGCCGTAATCCGGGGTAAAGGAGGAGAGACTGCTATGGGGAAGACGCGCTACTCGGCCCTTCGGCGTGAAAGCGACCGAGGACAGGGTCTGTTGGAGGACGGGACGGCCTACATGTTGCTGTCGAAGACGCGATGAGTAAACAGGCTGCACTGCATGGCCTGTTAGTGCAGATTGAATCTCGTTTTTGCATTGAGAGGTGTGCAGAGGTTGTTGACGTCGTTGTGCTGCCGTGCTCGCAACTACCTAGGTACCTAGCTCTGCTTCTGACGAGCTATGACGAAACGCGCTTTGTTGCCATCGCGTCATCATACACGCGCGTGTCCTCGCAATTCTGTACTATTAAATGATACAGGACCCTATACGATATACTCAAACGCATACCTAGGTACGAGTTCGTTTTCAATGGCGCTCACATGCTCCCCTGCGTGGCGGACGGGAACTTGAGCATGTGCACCCATGTGCATCTGGTGCCTGGATACTGGGCACCTATGTCGTCTTACCATTCGCTTTTTACCTACCTTGATTAAGCTGTGACAGTCTCGCGAAGAGAATAACGCGTCTTTCGACTGTTGCCTGGCTTTGTTTCTCGCTGGTCGTCGCCACGCCGCATGCCGTGCCACAATCAGCGCAAGGATTGGCCCGACAACTGTTACGAGCTCGATGTCTTCGACACAAGCCCCCACATGCATGGGTATCGTATAGTGGAGAGACCGTCCACCGTTGCGCATCGCAGGCAACGTCTTTACGCGCTCTACCGGCAAAACAAAAGGATCGACCCGACATGCGTTCACCATCGGCGCTGATGCGTTCTCTGAAAGAATATCTCATCAAAACTCTGATCGAAGCTCCCTACGGCCGCATAGCGGAGAGAAATGGACGCAAACGAAAAGAATTCCTTGACAAACTCGGAGCTGCGGCTAGTGCTAAATGGAATGGACGCCTCCCGTCTGAAACAAGAGCGGAAAGTAACGACCTTTTTGATCTCTTCTCAACCGCAGACGTCTCAATTCAGCAACAATCGCCGTTCTTCACACAGCTGCCTCTAGAGCTTCGGAGGCTTATCTACGCTTATGCCATTGGCGGGGAAGAACTCCAGCTTGAGCTCCATGAAGACGGTGATACCGACGCCCCGTTTAGCATGAGATGTGTCGAGGCACAAAGGGTCTTGGCTTTCACGAGATCATGCAAACTTGCGTGAGTAGATTGTACCTGCCGCCTGGCCCAGTTCGTGGCTCTATGTTCAGCGCCTGATCAAGCCGTCACAGGTATATCGAAGCGTCACAATATGTCTACAGCGACAATACATTTCGCATCCCCAACATCACAGCATTCTTCTGCCTTCAGCGCCTTCTTCCAGCGCGCTGGTCCCATGCCATCCGTTACATAAGATTGAGATGGGCATATATGCAGACAGGCGAAATGTGGGAATTTCTCCACGGATATCCACCTTACAATGCTTCGTGTTGGTCGCTGACATGGTCGGAAATCTCAAAGATGAGAGCACTAGAGCATGTGAGGGTAGACATGGTGCCCGGGTCAACATACATCTATGCTGACTATGAGTATGCTTTGTTTGCTCCATTAGAAACCGCCCAGGGATCGAAAGAGTTTGAAGTTTACGCTAGTTGGCCCGAACATAAAGACCTTCATCGTCAAGGGAAGGTATGGCCGTTCAAAATCACGCGGGGAGTGGAGTGGCATTTTCCAAACCAAGAATAGGCCCCAGCCTGAGTCAAAGGCGCATTTTCTTCTTCGTTAAGAGTCGATTTGGTCATATGAGCGCAATGGTTCCGCTAGGCTAGTTGCCATCCTCCCGAAGGACATCAAGTGGGCTTTGCTACGTTCACAATGAGCTAGATAGATTCCGCTCATAATCAGCGAGGGGGCACCCTGCTTGAACCACGCCCCAACAGGACGGTTACTGTGCCGCATCCACTTCGCCACCTTCGGTGATTAGGCACCAACTTACCATGTCACTGATATGCTATTTCTACTTCGGATTGAACTGTCGCTTTATTACCAACGATTTTCGATGCTCAGAATAGCGAGCTTATGATATCGCTCTTTCTTCCCCTTATCCATCTTTCTCTACTTTCCGTCGATGGCCATGCGACCAATCAAAGACGCAGGCTGGTATGTGCTCAGCAAGTTTGTGCAAGCAGTGATCATACCTATAATGGATAGGGGCAGAGCCAAGAAATTTCAGGAGCGAAGACGACGGAAAATAGAAGGACAGAACACGCTTCGGGCGAACTGGAACGCATCTTTACCACCTACACGCTCCGACACGAAAGAAGTCTCGGCATTGAGAGCAGTAACAGATGGGATCTCCACTCAGCCGCAATGCTTGTTCTTCACGAAATTACCTCCAGAGCTACGGACGATGATTTACCTATACGCCCTCGGAAACGAAGAACTTGAAATAGAGCTTTTCCCGGAAGAGATCAAATTGTGGAGATATTATCTTAATAATATTCACCCAGTACCCGCTTTCGATGTAAGATGTGCAAAGTTTCTGCAGCTCACGGCCTTTCCACGGTCGTGTAAGATGGCGTATGTTATTCCCTCTACCTGAGGCTTCGCTGGCTCATAGAACATGACTGACTTCTCTGCGCTAGGTACTCTGAATCCATACAGCATCTCTACGCATCCAACACTTTCTACTTTCCTACCTGTACAGCATTCTTCTGCTTCCACCGTCTTGTACCAACCCACCACTTCCAGGCTATCCAATCATTGTACTTGAAGTGGGCGAGCGACAACCCCTGGAAGCTATACCTGATATGGGAGTTCTGTGATGGCGTACCGCCCTACGACGTCTCAAGCTGGAACCAGACCTGGAAGGTCATATCGAAGATGGAAGCTCTCAAGTACATGAGGGTTGACCTGGTAGCATGCACTAATCGTCCTGAGCCGTACTCCTATTTTGAAGACGTCTTATTTGCCCCGCTGAAGAAAATCGAGGGCCTGCAACAATTCGACGTCTTTCTTAGCTGGGAAGAAGGCGAAACAGTACGTGAAGAGGGAGTGCAGCCTTTTACGATCAAAAGAACTATGGAACATGTTCGATAATCAGGCCCGGGCGGCGTGGAGCTGTAAGTAGCCACATGGAGCAGCTCCCGGGTAGTTCATGTCATATTATCATGTTAAGCTCCTGTTATGTGGAGGTGTAGTGAACTCGTGTGACCGCCAGAGTTGACTGTGTTGTACTCATCTAAAATGTCCCGAGGTCGCGTTCCAGCGTCTCGGTGCTAACCCGGGACTAATGACCGGTGACGTCATCATATGGAGGAGCCGAATCCGCCTCATGCACCTGCCCTCCGAAGCATCAACACTAAACATCGGAATCCTCGGGATCTTGTCAGCTTGCGTGGCCTTTTTACGCAGTGATGAGCTCTTCTCAACCAGAGAACCAGCCTCTGCTGCACAATTCTCCAACAAAGGTCATAGCTTTCGAAGCTCACGATCCAGACGACCCCCGGAACTGGTCGAAAGCGCGCAAATGGCTAATGGTTGCTGCCATTGTCCCGATAGACCTCAGTGTCTCCTGGGGTGCGAGTGGCTTTAGTCCTGTCGCGAGCGACTTTGCGAAAGACATGGGCGTGTCGCCGAGCGTCGCTGTTCTGGGACTGAGCATGTATGTTCTTGGGTTGGCTTTTGGACCTATGACTTTGGCTCCTCTTTCGGAATACTTTGGACGGAGACCTGTTTATATTGTGTCTTACGGTATCTTTCTCTTGCTCCTTTTGGGGACGACATATGTAGAGAACCTTGGGCCGTTTCTTGTCCTGCGTCTGTTCTCGGGTTATTTCTCATCCACGACCATTTCGAACTTTGGGGGCACCATTGCAGATCTCTTTCATCACCATGACACCGGGCCAGCAATGTCCTGGTTTCTCTGGGCAGCGACAGGTGGCAGCCCTACCGGCTTCGTGCTCTTCTCTTTCATCGCGCATGGTCGATCGTGGCATGCTGTGTTCCGCATCATGTTTTTCATCTGCTTGACCTTCTGGGTGGTCATGGTCGTCGCGCTCTATAGCCTCGGGGAAACACGACATAGTGTAATCCTCCTGCGGAGAGCAAGAGCCTTACGACAGCAAACAGGCGACGAAGGGATTGAAGTGCCGGATGAAATGAAGCAACGAGGACCGAAGCAGCTGTTCACTACAGCACTCGCCCGCCCATTCAGGTTCTTGGGCTCTGAAGCTATCGTGCAGTTTGGTGCACTCTACAACGGGTTTCTATACGGCTTGAGCTTCCTCTTTAACGGAGCCTTTCACATGATCTTTGGCCCGAACGGATACGGTTTTGATACCATCGGCGTCGGTATCTGCTTCCTCGGGATTGTCGTCGGCATCACATTTGGGCTAGCTACCAACGTCTTACAGGAACGATACTACCAAAGGCGGGTTTCTCAGGCCGGCCATCGCGACGTCCCCGAGGCCCGAGTGCATCATGCGAAGCTGGCAGCTATTGTGCTACCAGTATCTCTTTTGGCTTTCGCACTTACCGCAACGCCAAACATACACCCCTTCTTCGCAGTCCTCGCCAGCGCGTTCTGGGGATGGTCATTCTACACTCTTAGTAAGTCATAGAGATGACCAACGTCAGACGTACTACACTAACACTCTATCTAGTTCTGATGACCCTTACTTACACCGAAGACGCCTACAAGACGTACTCAGCATCAGCACTTGCCGGGATTGGACTCATTCGGAATCTTGCTGGTGCTGGGTTCCCACTCGTCGGGAGACACCTGTTCTTGAACGTAGGCACCAGGAACGCGAGTCTGGTACTGATGGCGATCGCCATTTGCCTAGCGCCAATACCATTCGTGCTTGAGAGAAGAGGCGTATCATTGCGCAAGAGAAGCCCATGGGCGGCCGCGCATGAAGACGAGGACGAGAACAGCTGAACCTAATACCGCTTGCGACAGTTGTCTCGCATTGTATGGGGCTCAGTCTGTTCTATTATGGGAAGGCGTTGGTGGCGCGTCAGATTCATGCTCCAAGTTCAAAGGATTTGGCTGTCATACGCTTCGACTATGGACCGCCTGTACAACAATTTGTACGCTGATGATGGCTGCAGTGTGCCTGGTCAAGCAGAAATGTCTTCGCAACTCTATACCTGGGCAAGTACCGTGGATGTACATGGAGATGTACCAGCTTAGAATTCGTCGGCAAATCACAGTCATCACATACCCAACCACCCAAAGTACCATCAAAGTCATTGCAATCGGATCATCACGAGACGAGCGCGCAAACAAGAAGATATACCTGGGCAAGAACGTGGAACGGATTTCTGTACCCGACGATCTCCACATTCCAATCGAATCAGAGACCCCTGGTCTACTCGCGTTCAATCTTTCCATCAGCCACTGATATGCATTCCTCATTACTCAGCCCTGCAGTCGTCTAGGCAGCGGCAAGTTAGCGACCTAGATGGTTCGATCTCGCGCACGTGACATTCACTACACAGCGAAGCCAACACACCCATTGGACAGAACAGAGCATGACGGCTACCCAAAATCAGCATAACGACGTTTCAACCACAACAGAACGTATTGTTTCGGGTCTGCCCGTGGTTTTAGCGCGTAATCTCATTGAACGTTGCGGGCCAACCAACGCGTCGCGCAGCCGAGAGGGTCGGCGCGTAACGCTAGATCTCGCGCTGCCGACTACCCACCCGCGTATCCACCTGAGATATTCTTAGACTGTACGAAGTCTACATATGAGGCTCTGCTCTTGCGATGATAGTGCAGTATCCTTCAACTTCAACCATCTTTCTTTCCTTCAGTCGGTTTTCATTCGGTTCTTTCCTTTTGAGTCTGTTCTGTGAACAACTCTGTGTTTCATTCGCGACATAACTTGCTTGTTTCCTTCAGTCAAGTCTCAGCATAGCGACGGAGTTATTCTCTTATCCATCGTCTTTCGTCATTTCCCGTTTTCTTGTTGCGAGAGAAATTTTGACCAGCGCGCAAGTCGTGTCTATCACCTACAACGTCATCTCGAATTACAACTACACCATCGACTTATCTACGAAACGTTCGCAAGGATCCTCGACGGCCTCTCCAGGAATTTCGAACACCCACACCAACAAGATAAACTCTCAGTAACATCACAGAGATGTCGTGCCAACCATTCACTTCGGTACCTCAACCACCCACCAACCTCCCATCGTGCGCCGTACCTGTCGGTGGCTCGAACTCTTCAATACTAGATGCATGCTGCAACGGGCACATCAACGCGATCGCGACTTATTCCGGTCCCGACTCAACCACATCATCACCATCCGCGTCCTCAACTCCAGTCATCGTTAACTCAGAAGACAACGACGGCTGCTTCCAATACTGCATCACCGATTCACCAGACATCGTCCAGAGTTGCTTGGCACAGAAGATGGAAGAATACGAGAAAGAAGGTGCAAGTGGCACGGGCATGTTCGGCTGCTTCAACACAGACAAGGCGGTTGGTGCGAGAAAGGTCGATGAAGAGCGAGGATATGCTAGTTCGGGTGTGAGGATTAGTGGAGGTGCGAGCTGGGTGGTATCAATGCTGCTGGGTCTGAGTGTCATCGGTGCAGTTGTGGGAGGCATTTGAGCACCATTGAAGAGATCGGCACATGGCAAGACCATGGAAAGATGCGAGGTGTTTGACCGAGTTGTATACCCAGGGGTTTTCTCTAGCATCTCCTAGCGCTGACGCTGGACGTAATGAATAATGACATATTTCAATTCCTTGACTATAGTAGCGGTGTGGAACGACAACACTGATGAGATCTACGATAAGATGGTCTGAACGACTTGGTTGCACGTCCGAACCGCAGATATATTCGTGCAGTCCCAAAAGTAAAAAGTAAAATTTCCCAGCCTCAAATCGTCTTCGACACCTACAAAGGCGGTGAGTGAGCAAAGGCAGACATTCCCCACACTCACAAAGCGCCTCAACAACATTGTGTGCTAAGAAGTCCGGTGCAGATCCCGTCACCGCAGTCGTAACTGCACTAAGTAGTGGTCGTGGTAAATTATAAACAGCTCTAGTGTTTGTTCTTACAACTACCGTCTAAGCCTGTCAACCGGAATCATGTCAAAAATTCCGGAGCAACCACACATCGTCAAATACTGTGACCAAGAATTGATTCACCCACAACCTCGGCATCCGGTGCCCATTATCGAAATAGAAAGAATAGCAGCCAACGCTGAAAAAGAAGCTTCTCCAGGCCGAGCCTTCACATCGCAACAACAACCACAGGCGCAGCAACAGCCACAACCACAGACGAAGCCCGACCAAATTCCCCAACGAAAGCGAAAAGACAGCGCGGCAGCTTCATCATATTGCGGCTCCCCCGTCTCGGAACAGTACGAGCAAGCTTCTGGAAACGAGCAGCTTGTTGCCTCACAGTCGCCTAAGCATGTGCCGGAGCATTTCTCCAACTCGGGCTTATTAGAAGCTGGGTTCAACCAGGAGACTTCTCGCAGAAATTCCAACTGGCGTCGCTTCTTTTGTAAGCCCCCGATCGTGAGAGATTCTCATGAGAAGTATTGCTAAGTTTTCAACCAGATGGTTCTCTGGAGTTCTTGATTCCTTTTGGAAGTGAATGGGATAGCCCGTGTTTGGCGTCCCGGAGGACTTCTGTTTGAATTGTGTCCAGAGCGCGGACGCTGCTTATGAAGTAATGAAATTTCTAAATACGAGACCTTTTCCCAGTTGATACTGTAAAGCTTGATGGTGTACCTGATGATGATGGGTCTGTGGCTGAGGGGCAGCCGATGTGGAGACGAGGGAAAGTTCCCCGCGACAATTTAGCGCTATCGCACCCCTGCCGCCGATGCGGAGCGTCATATCTTTTTCTCGAACGCGCAAACAGTCACAGCCCAATTCCACACGTTATTCTCTCATACATCTCAAGATGGCATCCGAAAAGAAGGTAGCAGAGAACATGCTCTGGGGAGGTCGTTTCACAGGTTTGTGCAGCCATTGGCCTATTGAGTCCATCGACACTTGAGATGACTGGTGCTAAGACGCGTTGCAGAGGGCCTCGACCCAGTCATGGAGCAATACAATGCGTCCCTCCCCTACGACCGTCTCTTCTACGCCGAAGATATCGCCGGCTCTATCGCGTTCGCTCGCGCAAACAAGAACAATGGCATCCTCACCGCCGACGAGTTCGCAGCCATCGAGAAGGGCATGGCCCAGATCAAGGAGGAGTGGGCGACGAATTCCTTCGAGGTCAAGGCGAACGATGAAGACATTCACACCGCCAACGAGCGAAGGCTAAGCGAGATTATCGGCAAGGACATCGGAGGCAAGCTCCACACAGGGCGAAGCAGGAACGAGCAAGTCGCGACCGACATGCGGTTATGGCTGAGGGAGCAGCTCAGGACACTAGAGGGCTACCTGAAGCTCCTGATCAAGACATCGGTACAGCGAGCCGAGGCCGAGATCGACGTGCTCATGCCGGGCTACACACATCTCCAGAAGGCACAGCCCGTCCGGTGGTCGCACTGGATCCTATCGCATGCCACCGCTTTCGCATCCGAGCTCGAGCGCCTCCGCGAAGTCATCAAGCGCGTTAACCGTTCTCCACTCGGCTGCGGCGCGTTGGCAGGCAACCCCTTCAACATCGACCGCGACGCCATGGCCAAGGAGCTTGGTTTTGAGGGCTTACTCACAAACTCCCTCAACGCTGTCGGAGACCGCGATTTCGTCTTCGAGACACTACAATGGGGGTCGAGCTTCATGCTCAAGATGTCGCGCTGGGCGGAGGATCTGATCATATACTCGAGTCTGGAGTTTGGCTTCGTGCGGTTGGCCGACGCCTACTCTACTGGAAGCTCCCTCATGCCTCAGAAGAAGAACGCAGACTCGCTGGAACTCATCCGAGGAAAGAGCGGTCGTGCGTTCGGGCACATGGCGGGTTTGTATGTCACCATCAAGGGTCTTCCTACAACCTACAACAAGGATCTGCAGGAGTCTGTTGAGCCTCTCATCGACCACATCAAGACGGTCAGCGACTCCATCCAGATCGCCACCGGTGTTCTGTCGACCCTGAAGATCAATGCCGACAAGATGCACGCTGCATTGGCCCCGGAGATGCTGGCCACAGAGTTCGCAGACTACCTTGTCCGAAAGGGCGTGCCTTTCCGTGAGGGTCATCACATCTCTGGTCGCGTAGTTGCCTTGGCAGAGGACCAGAACGTTCCCATGGACAAGCTGAGCTTGGAACAGCTGAAGGGCATCGATTCTAGGTTAGGCGACGACGTAGTCGAGTGCTTAGATTACGAGCGCGCGGTAGAGCTGAAGAACGCCACTGGCGGCACAAGCAAGAGCGCTGTCATGGAGCAGATCGACATCTTGAAGACGATCCTCTAGAGTAGAGGTTTGCCAAGCGACGCCTAAAACGGGTTTAGACAAAATTCACGGTGGTCACAGGCTATGAGAAATGAGAAATGATTACTACACCACTAAGATGTCGAGTGGTGATGAAGGCTGTTGCATGCGTGCGCTGGTTGCATGTGCTTACCCCACTTCATCTAGCCAGCGGGTCCGCGTTCACATCGCAAGGGGCCATATGCTTTTGAAAAGATCTGGATTTACTGCAACTGACTCGCATCTCATCTCTCGGACAATCATCAGGGTCGAACATCTGTCCAGATAAAGTTACCATGCAACAAGATCCACAAAACACCGACGTCATCGCCAGCATAAACTACTTCCCTGCCACCGGCATCCCCATCCCCAAATCAGAATGGAAAGTCAAATACCTCGACGACAAAGATGAATACACCCGCCCCATGCTCATCCGCGACGTACGAAAAGCGAGCAAGACATTCGATCTAGACGCCAACGGCTTCACATTCGTCACTCTACCACAGAAGCAAAGAGTAGACCGACACAGCAGCGAAGAAGACGTAAAACGAGAATACTATCCCGAGTTGGAAGAAGTAGTCAAGAAACTGTATGAATCCTTACCAACATCCTCCATAACAGACATCAGCATACATAAGCACAGAAGCACAGAAGACTAACAACACCCCCAGAACCGGCGCCTCAACCGTCCACATCTTCAACCACGTAATCCGCGCACACACCTCCCCCTCCGCAAAGGGCATCCAAGACGCCCAAGGCAGGTGGCAAGACATCCCCTCAGGCCACCCGCACGTCGACTACGCGGGCTCCGCATCCGCCCTCGCCGGTACACTGACTGAACTCTCGCTCCCACCCCACATCAACAACCTCTTCACAACATCAACCCGCTACGCCTTCCTCAACTGCTGGCGGCCCCTCAAACGCGTGCGTCGAGATCCGCTGGCCGTTTGCGATGCGAATACGGTGCCGGAGAGTGATTATCAGGTTCGGGAGAGGGAGTTTAGTCGCACGGG